AATCAAGTTTAATTACGTTAAAACATGAATACATAGGTAACACTTACCGGTTAATTCAAAATAATTGGATTTCTTTCAGAGCCATAGGGAACCTCAAGCTCTGCCATTAACAAGAGGAGCATTATCTCCTCCGTGGATATAACGAAGCAAAAAAGCCTCCCATCCTCCGTCAAAATGCTAATGTGAAACAACATTTCGAATTAATTTTAGTTCTATCGTTGCGAACGGGTGCCTGCTGTGAACTGTTATAAAGACCGGTTGTAATCCAGTAGGACGCGATAAACAACGCGGTCCCAAGGCAACAACGCACGCTAACTGTTTATGCTGCAATTTCATCACACAATTTTATTTACCTTAAATGCATTCTTTTGTGTCGAGCACAGTACCGCAACGTAAAGGGGAACCAAATGAACTCTGTTACATAATTCTTAGCGCAGGTCGGTTGGTGAAATATGCGCCAAGATGAGTAGTTCATTTGGTGTCCTGTAGGTGTCAAGATAAGACACATCCTAGATTGCAGATCAGTTGGTGAAATACGCGCAAAAATCAGTAGTTCACTTGGTGTCCGGTAGGTGTCAAGATAAGACACATCCTAGATTAAATAACATTCAAATAAGTGATACTTATTGATTTCAAAACAATGTCTGATTACACTGTTAATTAATTCATGAAACTATTCTGTTGCCATTGTAATTAATTTAAAAACAATAGAGTTACGTTATGGCAGTTCATTTTTATGTGTAATACGTAGTTCCGTTGATGATGAAACAATACGTAACCCACTAATTGATCATAAGGAATGAACAAAATGATAACGCATTGTTACGTCATAATCACATAACAGGTCCCACGAAGGATATATATATATATATATATATATATATATATATATATATATATATATATATATATATGATTACACATCGTTACGTCATAATTACGTAACAGGGGACCTCCAACCAAATACTACTTACTTTGTCCCTATATGTGGATACGCAATGTTACGTCATAATTACATCAGGAGACCTCCAACCAAATGATTACGTGTTGTTACGTCATACTTACGTGACAGGGCCTCCAGGGGACCACCAGGCAAATGGTAACCCAACGGTTAGAGTTTTGTATTATACCACGTGTCAATTTCTTATCGGCTATTGAAAGTAGTTTGACATGAACACGGTATAACTTTTCGGCCTCAGCTTTCATGTTACAATAACTCAAAACAGAGGCTTCACGAACAGTTATAGTCTGATCCAAAAAAATGTCTTGTGACTATTTCAATGTCCCCCAACGAATAACTTCGCATATACGAAAAGTTAAATATTTATACAAATTTGTATTCTCAGTCATTTGCGCACAAACGCAATTTGCGTCTCTCCAGGAAATACACAAGTTCTCAATCGAATTTCGTCTTCGCAATCTTGGGTAAAATCAATCAGTAGATAACCGTTCGGTTTTTCTGTTGCCTGTTTGAACACGTCGAGAAAACCGCTTGCTTCTCCGTACATTTGTGTGGCTAAGGTTCTTACTTGGAGAACATCTCTCGGGTTTTTAAAAAGCACGATATAGTGGCTATTCAAAGAGATTGTTCTGGCTTGTTTTTCCTTTGGAAATAGTGTCTGCATTATAAATATAACGCTGACGTTCAAATGATGAGAGCCTTTGGTAAATAAATCGCGAATTCTACTGTCACTCCCAGCTTCTGCGAATAAATCATCAAAAATGACCAGGTTGCTTAGATTTGCGTCAAAAAAGTTCTCCGGTTGAAAGTCAACTGGTATGCCTTTCACAAATGTTATGTTGTTGATGACGTCTTCCATTTCAATAAAAACGGGTTGCCAGATCGAATAGAAATAAAATATTTTATCGGGAGGCGGAGATATCATTATACCCGCATTTAGCAGAAGATTTTTCACCCAAGTAGTTTTTCCGCATTTCGTTGGACCAGAAACAAGCATCGTACTGGGCGATTTAAAACGCACGTCACCCATGGTGATAAATGACTTTTGCAAACCACAACACGACACTTTATAATAGTTTTCGCGATTGATCTCAATACTACCACTCACCTTTGTTTTTTTGTGCTTTCTTCAAAATTTTCTAAATGCTCGGCCAGCTCATCATCGCTTATGGTTTGGTGCTGAAAGCCTTGCTCTATTTCAAACTGTTCCACGTGAGCAACCAATTCACAGTCAGTTATATTGCTCTGCCATAGTTCAAAGTCAGCCATGTCTCTCCGGTTGGATGTGTATGTGGTGTTTGTGAGAGATGGTTTTTTTATAGACAGCACTCACTCAGCTGCTGCACAAAGTATGTTTACTTTTCTTTTCACAACGTAAACCCAAAATTGGACGAGTAAATAACGGTCTCTCCAGGGTGACAATTTCTTGCTCAGTTATGTTTACTTTTCTTTTCACAACGTAAACTCGAAACCGGACAAGTAGATTAAGTTCTCTCTAGGGGGTAATTTCTCACTCAACTATGTTTATTTTTCTTTCACAACCTATACTCGAAATTGGACAAGTAAATAAAGTTCTCTCCAGGGGATATTTTCTTGCTGAGCTTTGTTTTCTTTTCTTTTCAAAACGTAGACTCGAAATCGGACAAGTAAACAATCACTTACTGGTTAATCCAAAATAATTGGATTGTGCTCCGATCCTAACGGAGCTTCTACTAGCATCAATATTAAAAGCAACGTCTGGAACGTTGCCTCCTCCATGTAAATACGGTGGGAGAAATTTCTCCCGTCTGCCGTATAAATGTATATGGTAAAAATCATAGTAGCTTGGTGGGTAAATGACTGCCAAACTGTTATTCAGACGCTATGTGCAGGTTATTAATATTGATATGCTGTGTACAAGTTATAATCCGGTAGGACGCGGTTCCAAGGCAACGACACACTAAAACTGTTTATGCTGCAATTTAATTACACAATTTTATTTACCTTAAATGTGTTCTTTTGTGGCAAGCTCGTTCTAGATAGCAACGGAAAGGGGTACTGAATGAACTCTGTTACATAATTCCTAGTGTGGGTCGGTTGGTGTAACACGTGCCAAGATAAGCCGCCTCCCGGATAAAACGGTGTAACACGTGTCAAGATAAATAGGTGTCACTGCTTCAAGATAAGACGCATCCTAGATTAAAGGACATTCAATTAAGTGGTCGTGATCAAAGATAAAAGACTGTTCTGCTTTTGTTGTTGCATTCCATTGATTTTAAAACAATTCCGTTGCATCCAAAGACCATTCTAATTAATTTAAAAACAATGGAATTACGTGATGTTGTGCCACCAGTTAATTTTTAAATGGTGATGTTGTTAATTTCTAAACAGCTGCAATGATGCTTGATGTTGTAACTATAAAACTCCTCTTATACTACTCCCTCTTTTTAGTTAATCTCTATGAATGACTCTTCTTTTTCTGAGTCAGTCACTAGACTCGCTACGACTTCTTTTCCATTGCTATACAACGAGCAATACCAAATTTATTCATATCTACCATTGCGGACAGCGTCTTATTGTAAGTAGAGAGTAAGGAGTATTATTCTTTTTAAAACAAACTGGTTGGTGCCAAGTCTGTTCAATTTATAGTTCTTTCTTTTAAGGAAATAATTGACCTTTAGGTAAACACAATATGGCATGTGTGTACAAGCGAGACTTCTTCATTCCAAGAAGTTGTGGAAAATCTATCATATGTCTCAGTTAAAACATTAAAATGCTCTTTAAAACAAGAGTCCTTCACGTGACACTGATAAAATTAAACAAAATACTAAAACTCACCCGCCTATATTGTACATTTATTGTACATTCAAAATTCTGCTCTTCCATTGGAAGGTGTGCAATATCTGCACCTGTCAGCTGACCCAGAGAGGCATCTTTTTTCTTGCCTAGAGCTGCGTAGATTTCTTGGAAGAGCTGTAAGAACGCTAACCAATCAGCATATGTCATCATGATGACCGTGGCAATGGAGGCGCCCTGTTCTTAACTGATCTTTATGGGACATCTTAGGCCATCTAATGACAATGTGTAACCATTGCAAAACGGGACTGCTAAAACTTGCTCTTTCAACAAGGCCTCTTCGATTCCTTCTGTGTGTCTCTTGAAATGGCCTCACATGGTCAAGTAAAACAGATTTTTTTCTGACTTTAGCATTTAGTGTAAATGTATCTTGTCTTATCAAGAACTCTTGATTTGCTCATGGGTAATTTATCTTTTTATCTTTTTGCGTTGCTCCACATTATTTTAACACACTTCCAAAACTAGCCGGATTAAAGGGGTCATACTATAATGTCCTTAGAAATTCACGTGTCTCCTTGTTACTGCTTTCATTATTTCATTATTGAACAAAAACGGGTGCCAAGTCTTTTCCTCCCCAAGTAAGTCTCTTGCCTGATTAACTTTTGTAAATTCTTGCTATTTGGACGAGGCGTACCCCCAACATTCTCCAGCCATGATGGAATTAAAAAAAAAGGCTATTCTATTGAGATCTATCCTATTTGATATATGAATAATTAGATATATGAATAAATGGGGTACCGATACATTTCACCCTCCATGATTTGGATTGGGTCTTCTGAGTCCCGTAAAAATTATATAACTTAAAATATTTATTGGAAATACCAAATAAAATACTAAATAAATACGTATGATAACGCTTTGCACAATTGTCTGTATGAATCGTTAGAATATATGATGTAAAAGATACTTACGTCCACTCTAAACACTTCCACCGTCACATCCTCATTGTAAAAAATTAAAACCAGGTGCTTGCACCTGACGCAGCGGTAGAGGAAAAATTCCATGTTTTGGATGAGAAATTTGTCAGATTTCTCAGTATTTATACAGCAAAAGACAATGACAGTCGTGTATTACGTCGGAGAATCTTTACAAGAAACGCCGTTGTATAATCGTCTTGAAAGAAAATGTCCGAACATTCTGGAAAATCACTTGATCTTATCTAGGCAGTGCGTGATATTTTTTTCTAAATCGCATATAGTGTTTTCTAAATAACAGCAGCTAGGACTGACTCTTCTGAGTCGGCCACTACGACCCTCTTTTCTGAGTCGTCCGCTATGACTGACTCTTCTTCTGAGTCGGCCACTACGACCCTCTTTTCTGAGTCTTCCACTACGACTGACTCTTCTTCTGAGTCGGCCACTACGACCCTCTTTTCTGAGTCGTCCGCTACGACTGACTCTTCTTCTGGGTTGGCCACTACGACCCTCTCTCTACCGTTTAAAAAAAATACACATTTAAGTTTAAATGCTTTGCCTGATATTTTGAATATTATACATGCGTTACGTACCTGTGCATCAACGTGAAACGATTTCACGTTGTAGTGCTGATATATTTTTTCTGTCACGGCTACAATGTAGCCATGGCCAATATCGCAGTGCTGTACTTCTATCTGTGCCATGTTGCTGTGGTATTAACGCCGAGAAATGGGGGTATTTATACGCAACAGAAATGGTGTGACTTTGCAGGTTTTGTCTTTATTTTCATAACAAATATTAAGATAATTATATAATACATCTTTCAACTCCACTAACTCTGCAATTTTTCTGCAAAACAAAAAGATTTAACCCTTTGCTTGTCAAATATTTATCGGGGAATTATAGGCAACCGAATGACATGACTTTGCAGTTTTTTCTTTCATTTTAATATCAAATATTAAATAATTATATAATACACCTTTCAACTCTACTGACTCTGCAATTTTTCAGCAAAACGTAAAGATTTAAACCTTTGCATGTCAAATATTTATCGGGGAATTATAGGCGACAGAATGACATGACTTAGCAGTTTTTTCCTTCATTTTAATAGCAAATATTAGAATAATTATATAATACAGCATAACCATTTTTGGTGAAATAAAATAACTCTGCTATTTTTCAGCAAAACAAGTATGCTGCCTTGTCGACTCTGCCTGTCTGATTGCTGACAAATCCGTTTAACACACAAGACTTGAAATATTACCTCGTAGCTATCCAAGTACCTCGTCATTGACATTCGCTTACAAAGCGATATTTGCAAATCTGCCAGCACGTTCTTCAAGTGTTAGTTTGTTGACAAATCCACTGGACCGATAAGACCCACCTGCCCTCTGCTTGTCGCGTCGTAGGTATCCCAGGCCATCAAGTGCATTTGTCATTCACATTCGCTTGCAACGCCTCATTTACGCTCTAAAAAAACTGCATAAAAAGTATATGGTGTATCAAAAAAGCAGCTTGTGCGGTCCATTACAAACTACTAGCCACTACCACCCTCTTTTCTGAGTCATCCGCTACGACTGACTCTTATTATGGGTCGGCCACTACGACCCTCTTTTCTGAGTCGTCCGCTACGACTGACTCTTCTTCTGAGTCAGCCACTACGACCCTCTTTTCTGAGTCATCCGCTACGACTGACTCTTCTTCTGAGTCAGCCACTACGACCCTCTTTTCTGAGTCATCCGCTACGACTGACTCTTCTTCTGAGTTGGCCACTACGACCCTCTTTTCTGAGTCATCCGCTACGACTGACTCTTCTTCTGGGTTGGCCACTACGACTCACTCTTATTCTGTTATTCTATTTCATCTTGGGTACAATTTGCATATGAACGGAATGGCTAACGGTTCTTGTTGCTATGTATTCTTACTTCTTGACCAGTAGTGACCGGAAGTAGAAGGGAGTTGTATTCCTGGGAATTTTTTTATTTGAAAGGTGAAGGCGTAATGGGGGTCTGTACCATGCTTAGGTTTGTGGAGTGGCACGTCTAAATATTTGTGTTTGTCTATGTCATTGTTGTTCCTATTTACACCCTTGCAACTGAATTTTGGTTTTGTTTCACTTCCAAAACAGTAATACGTTTTACTGCAAAGACTAACGATGCCATCACCAATCCACTCAGCCTTGAACAACTCGACCCCAGGGGGGGGGGTTCTAACTCAGCTAAAAATAGCATAAGGAGATGTATTATGATATCATCTGTATAGATGACAAAGGAAAACTGTCTTCCGTCTTCAAGTTCTATTACAATTCTGGAAATCATTTTTCTGTGGTGGGTAGCTCAGCTAACAAATGTTTCGGTTAAGATGACACCGATGACCATGGAAATAACACCCGTTCATTAAATCTATTACCTCGACGTCAACTTCTTCTTCATCGTCGCTGAGGTTTGTGATGTCTACGACCACGATGTCCTCCATTCTAATCGATTCATCGTGGGAGTGGGAGACTTACCGGTTTCACCGTCCGTTAGGATGATGAAGTGTTATATCTGGAAAAAATGTTGGCTATTGTCACAACAAACTAAGAAAAATTCAACAAAATCATGAGGCTGATCCCTATCCCATACTCAATGCTCCTTTAGCTCATGAAAATGTCTTGGTAATAACTGGAAATTGAACGAGGGCGCTTCACTAAACCAAAGCGTGTATCCCTGCACAGATGAGAGTCGTTTGCTACCGCTATTATTATATTTTTATGGTAGTTTGAGAGCCTGTAAATGTTAATCATTCCTTTATGCTCAATAAACTATTATTACATTGTACAGGATTTAAACCCGTGTAGTTTCAATCAGTTTATTCTGTACAAATAGGCCATATTTACCTTTTTTGCGTTATAAACGCCCGGGTTCAAAAATTCTTCATCCAAGTCTTCCCTCTGCAATTGACTGACTCTTCTGAGTTGGCCGCTATGACTGACTCTTCTGAGTCAGCCACTATGACTGTCTCTTCTATGTTGGCAGCTACCACTGACTATTCTTCTGAGTCGGCCACTACTACTCCCTCTTCTTAGGAATGTCCATTACGGAAAACATGATTGCTTGTAGAGAAATACACCACAATCTTTGAATTGAAAATGTTCTGAGTTAACAGTCCGTAAATGGTAAGTTAAATATGCTGGAAATTCATCGTGCAAAAAAAAAATACAGATTTACAGTTTTCAATTATTTTTATTTTTGCTCAAAAATCACCCTGTGTGCGATACGTTTCTCTATTTTTGCTTAAAGATCACCCTGTGCGTGTTACATTTTTCTATTTTTGCTTGTGCGTGTTTAGTCCATCTCTGAAAAAAAAGAATCCTTAATTACAGAGACAAACAAGGCTTTTGAGCTTCTATAATAATCATAAATGACAAATTTACATCCACATATTCTTATGTAAAACGTTTTAGCATTCAGTGAAACGACATTATATTATGTGGTAAACAAAACTTACCCGGCTAAATTACCGGCTCTGCCTACCCGGCTAATTATCGATAATGACGTCTAACATCTGTAAAAAGAAAAAAAATTTCATTATTGCTTCGTCGCCGCTTTTTTAAGTAATTATGGACAATGTATATTTTTGTATATGTTTTCCACTTTAACGCAGTATGCTACAAGACATTCTCCTTGATATATGAATAAATGTTGTTTACAGTTCCCCCTCAGTTATGTCGAACGGGTCTTCCGAGTCCTGTAAAAAAATTATATAATTTAAAATATTTATCGAAAATACTTAATAAAACACTAAATAAATACGTATGATAAAGCTATGCACAATTGTCGGCATTAATCGTTAGAATACATGATGGAAAAGATACTTACGTCCACTCTGAAGACCTCAACCATCATATCCTCCGTATAAAAAATTAATACCAGGTGCTTGCACCTGACGCAGCGGTAGAGGAAAAATTCCATGTTTAAGATGAGAAGTCTGTAAAATCGATTTCTCCGTATTTATACAGCAAAATACAATGACAGTCATGTATTAAGTCGGAGAAACTTAACAAGGAACTCCGTATAATCGTCTTGAAAGAAAACTGCCAAATGTTCTGGAAAATCACTTGATCTCTTCTAGGCAGTGCGTGATAATTTTTTCTAAATCGCATATAGTGTTTTCTAAATAATCGCATAAAGCGTTTTCTAAACAACTATATGAAAAATCTGATGCTATTGTAAGTAGTTGTACTAAATTGTAATGATCTAAAAGTCTCAACCACAACATCTGAACCAAAGATGGTCAAGGGGAGTTGGTTCTCTTTCCAGACTTTATCGTCTTACATTTTCCAAATACGGAGAGAAAAAACGAAATAGTCAAAGTGTTCTATATGATTTCTGTAATGCAAATTTGACTGAAAATCGGTCACTCTGTAAATAAGTTTAAACTGTTTGTCAAAAGACGAAGTGCATGGAGTGAATATATGCAATACATAGAAAATACACATCTCCACTGTTAAAAATACGTACGTTTTAGTTAAAAATCCTTTGCCTGATATAATTGTATATTATGCATGCGTAACGTACCTGTGATTCTACGTGAAATCTCTTCACGTAATAATTATTATATTCTTTCTCTGACACGGCTACAATGTAGCCGTGACAAATGTCACATGTCTGTACTTCTACCTGTGCCATGTTGCTGTGGTATTAACGCAGAGAAATGGGGGTATTTATACGCAACAGAAATGGTATGACTTTGCAGTTATTTTTCTTTATTTTTCTTTATAATAACAGATATTAAAATAATTATATAATACACCTCTACCGAATTTTTTAACAAAACAAAGATTTAAACTGGCTGACACTTCTTCTGAGTCAGCCACTTTGACTGACTTTTTTGAGTCGGCTGCTATGACTGACTCTTCTTCTGAGTCCGCCGCTATGACTGACTCTTCTTCTGAGTCGGCCACTACCACTCGCTCTTCTTTGGAATCCGTGTCCATTACGGAAAACATGATTGTTTGTGGAGAAATACACCACGAACTTTGAATTGAAAATGTTCTTAACAGTCCGTAAATGGTAAGTAAAATATATACTGGAAATTTATCGTGCACCTCTTTTACTACTGATCTTGTTTGCTTTTTAACATAGTTCAATAGGGTCTTGTCATTTTCTGTTGTTGACCAAAAGGTATGGACCCAGTTAGTGTTTTCAACTTTGTCAGGTTCTAAAAGATCTTTATGGACAATGTTTTTATGGTTTTAAGTAACATTTTTTTAAATGATTGTAAGAAAACAATCATTGTCAGTAAAAAATATGAAATGATTTTCTTTCTTTTGTTCGTTTGTTATTTCAGAATGGTTGTAAGTAAACAATGATTGTTAGTGAACAATTTAATGAAATGTTTTATTTATTTACTACATTTTGTAATGGATGTTAGGAATGTTATATAATTTTTGTAAGTAAAACTAAGAGTTATCAATTAGTTGTATTGAACTGAACAGTACTAATGTGCTCCGTTTTACAAACATAGACATAATGTTGATGCAAAACGATAGGACTTAATTCTTTGTTTGCTATTGCTTGCTATTGACTGGTTTTACATGCAGATGTTCATTGTTTCAGTCACCCATGTTGAAAGTTCACAGATGTATTGAGTTACCTTGTATATCAGGTTTTATCAGCATTTCAATTTCTACCATTGTTTTACAATGTGTAATATATAATGAGATCGTAAGATGTGGAGTTCTGTAAAATTTGTTTTTATCAAAAGGTTTTTGAAGAAATAAAAAAGAAAAAAATATTACCTCAGCGTTGTTGTTCTAGAATTCAGAGATGTTTTATAATATGAGTACAAGGCATGTGATCTGCTCATCGCATGTAAATTCAAAATTGCTAACCATTACTCATAATCGCTATTTTTTTTTCTCAAAGGTAGACTAGCTAAAGTTAAATACGGATGTTCGAGGCAAGGGTTGTCAGATCGTGTAGCTAGGGAACAATCTGTTTTAATGAAATATGAAAGTGATCAAGATAAAAGATTTAGACTAGCTTTTATAACGTTAATGCTTAAATAAAGTTTGGAGTTACAGAAACAGCTTCTTGTCCGAGTTACTGTGGTCTTTATTTGGGTAATTTTTGGCAGTTCCAAAAAGCACATCGCAAAAGGGATGCTTTATTGTTTATTTGTTTATTTATTTATTCATGTAATTTTACCTAAATGTGATAAGCAATAGGCACATTTCTTAATATAATTACTTGTATTCATCCGTGTGCTCAGTATGTGACGTTGGATTTGTATTTAAATGTCCTTTCTGTCTTTTCTACATTGAAAGCAACAAATAGCATGTTAAATGTAACATCCAATTTTAGTTGAAAATTAATATTATTTTTATTAATCTACCAAAAAATATCAGTTTATAAATTGTTTGTTGTTATTGGAAGCATCGCCTGTCGTAATGTCGGGACCTTCTCTCCTCCCAATATCGATTTATTTTACGCTAAGTCGCTAAACTTTGAACCAGTATTGAATATGAATACACGAGTATTTCAAGATATGGAAATTCCAAGCGTCGATACTAATGGTTTTGTATGTACAGAAGCGTCCTAAAAATCAAAAGCAGGCTACAGTTACTATTCGTATTATACTCAGATGTTTTTTGTCTTTGGTTATGTTTAAATCCATATAATTTAATCCTTCACTTTGCTGTGACTACTCTTGTCTGCGGCCACTAAGACATACCTAAAACAGTCCAACAGGATCGATCTTTCTCCAAGGTTTTTTGCTAAACTGCTTTCCGTTTGTCTGGTACTCCTACAGAAGCTGCTAAACGATAATTAATTACCCTCTAGCAGCTTCAGTAAGCGTGACAGACATCCAAGCCGCTTAAGTCGATTGCGATTTAGCGAGAATCCTCTCGGAGATAGATCGATCCACAGTTAGTACTATAGGGTCTGGGAATGGTCCCTAGGATATGCTACTAAACTAATAAGTTTCATAAGTCGACGTGTCATCCACAATTTAAGGCCGCTTATAATATAGCCAAGCAAATCGATACGTTTTCGTTTATGGAATTGGACTGGTAAACTGCCCTTTACTGGAGCCATTGATACAAGTACTCGTACAGCGGAGACATGGTGTTAATTCCCCTAGAGTCTCCAAAAACTTTAGGTGCTAATGGATGGATGTGACCTTTTTTATCTCTTCACTGCACATTTTCAGGACATAAAACGCTTGATTTGGCTGCGTATCTTTAAGTCCAGAAACTTCTTTTTTTTTTCAGTTCCCATATAATGTATGTACAACCGTGTAAAAAACACTTGCGTGACCTTTTTTGCATTATATGATGCATAACCAAAGTTGTTTAGTTCTTTTTTATCATTATCTATCTTTATACACAATAAAATGTTTTCTGTATAATTATGTTGATATTTGTTTTTAAGGACGCTCTCTCATATTTCAGATTTCATATTTTTGCCCTAGCGATTTTGATTAAAATTGTAAGACAAAATCTTCTTACCATATGAGTAAAAAATATGAAAAAAAATTGGGGGTACTCCAGCTCGTTTTCAAGAGGTGGCGTCCCGAAAAACGCTACGTTTATTACATTGCGTTATATGGGGATTTTGCCAAAATGCCCTAAATTTTGCTGAAAAATGCAAAAATAAAAAAATCTGCCCTAGCGATTTTAATTTTATGTGGATATGTTATAGATCTTGGTAGACCTCAAAGAAATTTACAAAAAATATGTACCACAACATGCTTGTTTTTGAGCCAGGGCTGCTTGAACATCGATTTTTTATCAAATTTACATAGGAATCAATGGAAATTTCCAAGCAAATTTAAATAAATATGTTTTGTATCGTGGGTTTTTTTAACTCATACACTTATTTTGCTTGCATGAAAATTATATTTATACTTCTCTGCATCAGCTTACTAAATTTCATAAAGTTTGCTTATCCCATTTATAACAAATAGATATTCAAATGTTGAAAGTATCAGTTGGATTTCAGTATGCCTCATGGAATGCCGCCATATTGGATTTGTCATAGGCTGGACCTACAAGCACACGTATCAATCTCTTGTGACTTTTATGTTCCTATTCCTTTTTTCTTACTGGTTTATACATTTTTAACATTGAGATAGCTGGATAGATTGTTTGCTTTGTATATTTTAATATACATTGTTCAAACAATGTATCAATTTCTTACTACTGGTACGTTACATGTACTAGCCAGATTTCTTGACAAACGTGCTTTGGAAACTAGGTGGCAAAAAAGTTGGAATATTCATCTAAAGACATATTTTGGTTATCAGTTTATTTCGATTTCATATTATATTTACAACATGAAATCAAATAAATATCAATAAATATGCATACTTATTAAAAAATTTAGGCATTAAAGACATCCTACATGCATTTTTCTTATTACTTTATACATTTTGTTACTCTTTTTTTTTGTGTTTAGATTAATTTCACATAGAAGACAATAAAGACCATCTAGACCTCTTTGAAATGACGTGTGCAAATGCTGATATATAAACCACGACATCTTGATTTTCCCCCTAAGCACGAAGAAATTATTTTTATAAACTAGGTATTATATAGAATTTGCTAAAGGTTGAACGCAGGATTTAGTTAATTGAATGGGATGAAATAAAAAATCAAATAACGGGGATCTTCCTGGGTCAAAATCTGGCTGGGCCATTTTTAAAAATGTGTGCCGTGAATTTTTTGTGATAATTCATTATGTTTCAATATCATTTTTTATTTTAATTTTGATCATATTAAGATTAAAAACACTGAAAAAAGGCTTGGTGCTTTGAGATCAAAGGATTTTCTGCTCTTTA